TATATATATATATATATATATATTATTTGAAAGTACAGCTTGTTGTACAAAGGGCGTTGGAAAAATTGAATTGTACCTTCTACGTTGTCAAAACCTAATACGATGTCTGCTACTTTTCCGTGTTTGTCCGGGGTTCTGATAGACGTTATCGTTGCACCATATGTTACAATGTCCACTTCTTGACCTAATTTGTTTTTCAAAGTGTACTTTTCGACGCCTTGACCATTGACAGATCCCCATTTTACAACAGATATTAACTGCTCGCCATCCGAACCCATAATTGATCTAACGGATACACGATTGTGTGAAATTACACGTACCAAGCATAAAGTTTGTCGAACAGAGTGATTACGATATTTGTGCTCCCATATATGTACGTATATATACCATATATGAATATAAGTAGAATCGTGTGGACGATAGATAAGATTGGCAAGGCTATTTGATTGGAAGATGATTAGGATAGAAATAAGAAAGCAAAAACAAACAGATAGGTGCACAAGCAAAACTCGATAGGGAAAGATTTATAGGAGCAGTCTTGTCTCAAAATTACACTATATCTCGTTAACGATCAAATTGTCTTCATTCCACAATTGTCTTCAGAGAACTAGGATGTACATAATGACTAATTTAGCGAATTTTCCTCATTCAAATGTACACTTTTAATGTATGCTCGTTAGACGAAGAACGCGATTCAATATTATAATACAAGTTACTTACGATTCGTGACTCAAGTTTATTTCATGTTTTATTTTTAAGGGTAAATGTATGTAATCTTACTTGAATAACAGACAAGTTGTTATGGCTACGTAACGAGAAAGCTGCATGATGATAGCACTGTCACGATAGTACGGCAACACCGTAATCAACTTATTCCTTCGTCGCAATGTTGTCGTGACGCATTGCGTTGTATAAACCTTCTACCTTATTGTCACGGCCATATTTCCATATCTCCATATTTACTATGACTGAAAGAAATAAATATGAAATAAATGATAAATCTATAGATATTCGTCTCTCTATGCAAACTCAATGTAATAATAAAAACGAACGAAAGTACATTTGCAATAGCTAGAAAATTACAACAATGTTAATAGAAGGCGTTACTTTCTATAATATAATATTGTAGTAGTTTACATTATCTCGACGTAATACACTTATCGAGTACAGTTTACACGATTGTGGAAAAGAAAAAAATTTATCTAATCTTTTATTGTTTACTTCGCGAAATATCGACGTGTACTTACGATATCTTTACGTAAGAATTCTTTCTATCTATCTGTATTTTAAAGTTCTAAAATCTTCCTTATAATTAATTTAGTTGTTACATCATTGAAATTCCTTTCGCAGTCGTATCACGTTCGTCAACATTGGTCGAAATTCTGGAAAAAAATCGGACATACTAATAATAACAGGTAGATTGTACAAAGTTGGCATATTCTTTTTTTTTTTTTTTT